GCAGCCCCGCGACGACGACCGGCCGCAGGGCGCCTCGCCGTCCTCCGCCGCCGCGAGCGCCAGCGCGGCGGCGACGACGCACCAGAGCTCATGCCCGAAGCGCATGAGCAATTATTTCCATAAGCTCACCATGCTCGATGCGGGCAGCGGCACCTTCGTTGTTTCCCCAACGTTGCAGTGGCCACAGCACGAGCGAACCGATGTGCGTTAGGGGCGAGGCGACGGCGGAAGCGACGCGGCCCTTTGCTCAGGGCTCGCGCTCGTCGCGCCACTGCCGCGCGAGCTGCGGGTCCGCGTCGGGCCGCGCGGCGAGGTCGTCGCCGGCCTGGACGAGCTCGAAGAGGTTCGGGGAGGCGAGGAGGCCGTCGACGAGGTGCACGAGGGTCTTGAGGGGCACGCGCGACGCGAAGGTGTCGCCGCGGAGCGCCGCGTGGAGCGCCGCGTCGACGTCCGGGAAGACGAGGTCCGCCGCGGGCCGCGGCGTCTCGAGCGTCGCGCGGAGCAACGGCGACGCCGCCGCCGTCGCGGGCATGACCTTGACGAAGTCCGCCAGGAGGCGCACGCCCTTGGGCAGGCCCATGAGCGCGGAGAAGACCGCGCCCGACTCCTTCGTGTGCGCGACGGGCGCCGCGCCCGCGCACGGCGGCGGCGGGCCCTTGCCGAGGAGGTGGTCCACGTAGGTCGGCGACACGTCCAACGGGTGGGGGTCGCATTTGGCGATGGCCCGCGCGACGCGGCCCAGGAGCCGCGCGCACTCCTCGCGGAGCGCGGCGAACCGCGCGTCGCCCGCGTCCGTCGCGTGGCCCAACGACCGGCACTCGCCCAAATCCAGCAACGCGACCTTGCCGCCGTCGACGGCGTCGCGCGCGACCCACATGGCCGACGTGAAGGGCCGCGACCCGCTCTCGCCCACGAGGCCCGCGGGCACGGACATCAAAGCGCGCGCCGTCTTCACGTCCTGGCGGACGACGTGGCCCAGGACGCGGTTGCCCTCCTCCCACTTCTGCGTGACGTTCTTGAGGTCGTTGGACATGTGCGCCGCGCGCGCCTTCGTGTGCTCCTTCGTCTCGACCCAGACGGGCGCGACGAGCGACCCGCCGTCGTCGCCGCCCGCGAGCCGCCGCTGCGCGTACTTGTGGTTGTAGTAGTCGTCGGTGTAGGAGTCCGCCGTCTCCAGGGGGCGCATGTGGCTCCGCACGACGTAGGCGACGTCGCGGCTGCTCATGCACGACGACCCGGGCATGCGAGGCAGCTGCGCGTGCGACGTGATCGGCCGCGGCGCGGGGGTCGCGGGCCGCGCGCGCGGCTTCGGGTCGAGGCTCGCGGCCTCGAGGGCCGCCGACGCCTCGGCGAGGGCCTGCGACGCCTCGGCCTCGAGGGCCAGGGACGCCGCGACGGGGTTCGGCGGCGGCGGCGGCGGCGGCGCGGGCTGCGACGGCGGCGGCGCGCGCGCGACGAGGTCGCTGAGCAGCATGCCCGCGGGCGGCGGCGGCGGCGGCGGCGGCGGCGCGGTCGTCTTCGGCGGCGCGCGCCGGGCCATGCCCGGCGGCGGCGGCGCGCCGAAGCCGGGCGCGGGCGGCACGGCCGACGGCGCCGCGAACTGCGCCGCGAGCGACGACCCGCCCGCGCGCTGGTTGGCGAAGGGCATGAAGCTCGGCGGCGCCGGGGCCGACCGCGGACCGAGCGCCGACGCCGACATGGCCGCGAGGGCGTCCGCCGAGATCTGGAGCGGCGGCGACGACGCGCCGCCGCCGCCGCCGAGGCCGGGCGGCGGCGCGCCCATGCCCGGCGGCGGCGCGCCCATGCCCGGCGGCGGCGCGGCAGAAGGCCGCAGGCCGGGCGGGAGCTGGAAGGCCATCGTTTGCGTCGGTGTTGGTGGTGCTGCCGGCGCTCTCGGTGCTGGAGCTGCTCGAGGCCGCGAGCTGCTCGGCGCAGCGCGCCGGTCCGGCGATCGATCCGAGCGCGCGCGTCGACGGCGTCCGCGCTCGCAGCAGCCGATCTGGTACTCGACTCCGCGGATATAGGGCAGCTTCTCCTCGCGGTTCGCGCGGGCGTCGATAGCCTTCTTGCGGGTTGTGGACGACGTCGATGCCCTTGTCGTTAGGCGAGGTCGCCGAGGCGCGCGGCGCACGCGATGCAGAGGAGCCCGAAGGGCCCGTCGGCGAACTCGAACGGGTAGCAGAGGCCGCCGTGGGCGTAGCACATGAGGGCCGGGCCCCCGGGGACGCCGATGGGGTCCGCGGCCGTGCCCGCGGCAAACGTGCCCGGCTCCTCGCGCTGCGGCGCCGCCTCCTCGTCGCCGCCATGCCCCGCGCCGACGAGGCGTTCATGATCTTCAAAGTGGTCTTCGACGGGCGGCTCAAGGCCGCGCTCACCGTCGACGACGACGGCGCGTCCGTCAAGGCCGCGCTCCGCGGCTGCTACGCCCACAGACGCGTTCATTGAAGGCTCGTTCGCGCGTCTGCCGGAACCGGGTCTGCTCGTGCCCGGCGCAGAGCGCGGACCGCTCCGTCGCGAGCGGCGTATTGGAGCGAGCGTGGGTCCATCCCGGTCGACGCCCAGCGCGCGGCAACATTGCTGCACCGTTCCCTAAACTCGGCTAAAATCGGCGACAGCAGCCGAAGCAGCATGGCCGTCGAGCAGCCGAGCCCGGTGAAGGAGGATGCACCCGTCGAGGAGCCGTTCGTGACGCAGCACGACCGCCAGCAGGTGCAGCGGTCGACGCAGCAGACGCGCGACGACTGCCTGCGGCAGCTCGAGTTCTACCTCTGCGACATCAACCTGCCCTACGACGCCTTCCTCAAGGGCGAGATGGGCGCGGACGGGTCCCTCGCCTGCGAGACGGTGGCGAACAGCGGGCGCATCAAGCAGTACGCGCCGCTGCTGACGCCGAAGCAGCGCGCGTTCCTGCTCTGGGACGTCGCCGAGGCGAGCGACTCCGTCGCGCGCGTCGGCGACCGCCGCGTCAGGCGCGCGTACCCGCTGCCCGCCGACGACGAGAAAAAGCCCGTCTGCGTCTACGCGCGCCTGGCGCCGACGGAGACCGCGCGCGAGTACCTCGGCGACGACGACGCGTTCGAAAGGGCGCTCGCGGCGCGCGCCGACGCCGAGAGCTTCGGGCCCGTCGTCTCGGCGCGGCGCCGCCGGGACCTGCGGAAGACGCGCGACCTCACGGGGGAGGTCGTCGTCGAGCTCGAGGACGAAGCCAAGGCCACGGCGCTCCTCGCCGTGCTGACGGAGGCGACGAGGCTCGACGGCCGCAAGCTCGTCACGGACCGGCCGGACGTCGCCGTCGCGGCCGCGTCGACGGCGGCCGACTTCTACGACCAGTTCGGCGCGGACTGCGAGGCCTTCGCCGCCGAGGGCAAGCGCCGCGCGGCGGAGCGCACCAACGGCGGCTCGGGCCAGAAGCGGCCCCGCGAATCCGTCGAGCGCGCGTCGGGCCTCGTCCTCGCGTTCGACGGCGCCAAGGAGGACTGCGACCGCGAGGCCCTCGAGGCCGCCTGCGCGGCCCACGGCAAGGTGGCCTTCGTCGGCTTCCAGCGCGGCGCAGAGTCGGGGACCGTGCGCTTCGACGACGCGGCCCACGCGGCCGCCGCGCGCGACGCGCTCTCGGCCGCGGGCGCGGACGCGCCCGCGGGGACCTGGCGCCTGCTCGAGGGCGCGGAGGAGGCCGACTACTGGCGCGACGTCGACGACTACCTCGAGCGCAAGCGCGCGCGCGCCGGCGGCAAGGGCGGCAAGGGCGGCAAGGGCGGCAAGGGCTTCGGCCGCGGCAAGGGCGGCGGCAAGGGCCGCGGCGGCGGCTTCGGCAAGGGCCGCGGCGTGGGCAACTTCGGCAAGGGCGGCGGCCGCGGCCCGCGCCGCTCCGGCCGGGGCTTCTAATATGCTTCTACGGACCTTGATGGCAGGCAGAAGATGCCTTAGGGGGCGCCCTACTCGGGCGGCGCGTCGGCCGCGAGCGCGGCGACGTCCGCGGTCCTGAGGCTCTCTCGTCGCGAGCGCCTCCGCTCGGCCGTGCGCACGCCGTCGGGGCATTGCTCGAGGAAGGCCGCGGCGACCGCCGCCGCCTTGGGGCCGCCGGACGACGCGACCGCGCGGAGCGTCTCGAGGCCGCCCGCCTCGACGACGGACTTGGTGACGGACTTGTCGCCCTTGGAGAAGATCTGGACGAGGTCGCCGACCGCCAATTCCGCGGCGTCGTCGTCGTTGCCGCGCGCCATGCCGGAGAGCGCCTCGACGCCCCCGGCCTTGACGATCTGGGCCAACATCTTGGGGCCCGTCTTGTCGCTCTCGATCTGCTCGTGCAGCGCCGCCGCGGCCTCGGCGCGCTCGTCGCTGTTCTCCGAGCTCACCCCGGTGATCGACGCGGAGATGGACCGCCGATTCCGCCGCAGGGACCCGCCGCTGCCGCGCTTGACCATGGCGAACGCCGAACAGAGCCGGAGATGCCGCAGCCCGTCTTCTGATTGCATTCTCAACGGCTATCCTATTTGCGAGAAATCTAACTTGACGATTCAAAGGGGCTGCCCCGAGCATGAGCGCCTCGATGGGCGACCTCGTGGACGACGCCCAGCGGCAAATGGAGACGCTCGAGCGCGCGCGCCAGGGCTCCGACGCCGCCGCCGTCGACGACGTCGCGTGCGCCTGGCTCCGGAGAAACGGCAAGGGCGGCTACGTGAAGGCGTTCCTGGTCATGCGCCGCAAGACGGACACGCTCTCCTGGTGCGATCTGGAGGACCTCATCGCCATCTTCGAGCCCCTCCCGCTGCAGCCGGAGGGGCAGGGCAACGACGACGACGCGCTCGCCCAGATGCTCTCCGGATTAGGCCTCGACGCGACCCGATGACGCGCGAAAGAAACGCGCTTAGTCGTCGGTGATCCGGTACGCGGAGTGGCGGAGCTGGGGGTCGCCGAGGCTGCAGTTCGCCCAGACGCCGTAGCGGGGCGTGCCGCGCGCGGCGCGGTCGCCCAGGGTGGCCATGAACGCGTCGTCGTCGACGGTCGTCGCGAGGACGCCCGGCGGTCCGTCCGGCGCGACCTTCCAGAGGCCCATGAACGCGTCGAAGCCGTCGTCGCGGTAGAGTGCCAGGGGATCCGCGGCGCAGTAGGGCTCGGCGAACAGGTTCGCGCAGTGGCCGAAGGCGAGGGGGAAGTCCGCGCCGTCGTCCTCGTCGTACGGGTTCGCGCCGCGGAGGTACGTCTTCATGAGCAGGTACTTGGGCGCCGCGCGCGCGAGGTTCGCCAGGAACTGCGCGTTGTCCCGGGGCCCGAGGTGGCCCATCATGTCGCGCACGATGACGAGGTCCGCGCCCTGGGGCAGTTCCTCGGAGACCGCGTCGAGCACCGCGAAGCGCACGGAGGGGACGCGGCCGCGGAGGCGCGCGCCGACGCCGCCCGGCGCCGTGTTCCGCTCGAGGATCGGCGCGCTGATGTCGACGCCGAGGTACTCCTCGACGCCCGCCAGGTCCGCGGCGTCGACGACGGACGCGTCGCCGCAGCCGACGTCGAGGATCGAGAGGACGCCGTAGCGCCGCACGACGGCGCCGAGCGTCTCCGCGAGCCGCGCGGCGGCCCGGCCGCTGCCGATGCCGCTCGGCGGCACGTCCGGGTTGTTCGAATTCCAGACGCCCGCCTCGTAGACGTGCTCGAAGAGCTCGCGGCGCCGCGCGCGGCAGCTCCCGGCGTCGCCGCACGTCCGCTCCTCGTGGCGCGCGCTCACGCGCAGCACCCGGCCCCGCGCGTCCAACTGCGCGCGCAGCGCCTCGCAGTCGGCGCCGCCCCAGGCGCGGTCGATGGCCGCGCAGGCCTCCCGGAGCACCTCCTCGTTCGTCCTCGCGAGCGGGTTGTCGATGTCCCACTTGATGTCGCCGACGGACTCCCTCGTCTGGTCATCGATCAAGGGCACCCACGCGCTCCGGCCGGCGGCGAAGGAGACGAGCGATGCTGCGATGAGCAGAGCGCGCAGCGACGCCATTGGGGCTGCTCCGAAGTTTCACTTCAACAAAATTAGTTGCTTGGGGAGCAAAAGAGGCCGACGCTAACTTCGACGCTAGCCTCGTCCCCATCGTCCGAAGTTTCAGTTCAACAAAATTAGTTGCATGGCCGCACGGGGAGCAAAAACCGACGCTAGCCTCGTCCCCATCGCCCGTTCGACGACGGCGCGGATCCCGGCGGCGGCGGCGGCGGCGCGCGGCCCCGGAACCCGGGGCGGTTCCAGCGCGCGTCGCTCTGCAGGAAGCCGCCGCGGCCCTCCTCGCCGGCGCCCGGCGCGCACTTCGCCCAGGGCGGGTCGGCCTCCGGGTGCGCGCGGAGCATCGCCGCGACGTCGCCCAGCAGGTCGAGCCGCCGCCGGTCGGCCCCGTCGAGTCGGATCGTCTCGCCGTCGACGGCGCGGAAGCCGAGCGCGAAGAGCAGCGCCCGCGCGCCGCGGCTCGGCGCGACGGCCCGCGCAAAGTTCGCGTTCGCGACCCTGACGGCCCGCCGCTCCGGCCGCGCGGCGTTGGCGACGTACGTCGCGAGCAGTTTCGCGTCGCAGAGCGCGGCGGCCTCGTCCGCGAGGGCCCAGTGCAGCGCGCCGTAGGCGCCGTCGCGCGGGTCGAAGAGGGCCCGCACGCGCGTCGTCGCGTCCGCGGCGGCCAGGCGCGCGACGGCGTCGGATAGCACGGAGACGAGCAGCACGTGCGGCGAGAGCGTCGGGTCGAGGCGCCGCGGCACGTAGCACGCGACGACGGCCGCCGGCGGCAGCGTCGCGCACGGCACGTCGTGCTCGCCGAGCGGCGTCGCGAGCCGGTCGAGGTCGAGCACGACGTAGAGGTGGCCGACGCGCGACGTCTGGCGGACCTCGCCGTTGACGCGCAGCGGGAACACGTGCGTGCGCGGAATGTGGCCGCTCGGCGAGACCCAGCAGAGCGCGTGGCGGCGCGCGCCGCCGGGCAGGCTCGGTTCGGCATCCATGCACGTGAAATTGATCTCGACGGACGCGCCGCCGTGCCCGCGATGCGACGACAGGGCCTCGAAGGCCTGGAGGCCATGCGTGAGCTCGCCGAAGGGCGCCTCCTCGAATGCGAACGCGTCGCGGTGCGGAAAGGCCGCCATGTGCGAGATGTCCTCTTGCCTGAGGAGTGGTGCGAAGACCGAGCCCGCGTCGCAGAGCACCGCTTCTTGCCGGAGAGCTGGACCCAGCTGGGCGTCTCGCGCGCTCGTCGGGAGTTAGGCCGACGTTGAGCCATCCGTTGACGCTGCCCAACATGGACGTCGCATCCAGGCCGTAGCCGCGTGGCAGCCCTCGACGTTGCAAAAACCAAACCATGCCGCGACCCGACGACGACGACGCGCAGGCCGTGGCGCTGCTCGACCGCATCATCGGCGCGGACCCGGACAACGCCGGCGTGCGCGCCCAGCTGCAGGGCACGATGTGGGCCTCGCCGCGGCTGCTGCTGACGGCGATCCACGAGCAGGCGACGACCCTGGGCATCGACGACGAGGACTTCCACTGGATCGCCGCGCGGTCCCTGCTGTCGCCGCTGCCCGACGGCTGGGCCCAGTACAAGGACCACGAGGGGAATCCGTACTACCTCAACGAGAAGACGCACGAGTCCAAGTGGGAGCACCCGCTCGACGAGCACTACATGGCGCTCTACCGGAGCTACGTCTCCCAGCGCCGCGACGCGCCGGAGGTCGTGCTGCCGACGACGCCGCCGCGCCGCGACCGCGGCTCGCGCGCGTCGTCGCCGCCGTCGCCGCCGCGCGAAGTTTCCCGCGACGCCGCCGCCGCCGCGCCGCCGCCGCCGCCGCAGCGCTACTACGCCGACGCCGAGCCGCGCCAGGCCTACGAGGCGGCGCCCTACGAGGCGCCGCGAGCGCACCGCGACGCGCCCTACGAGGCGCCGCGCGCCGCGCCCTACGAGGCGCCGCGCGCCGCGCCCTACGAGGCGCCGCGCGCCCGCGACGCGCAGCCCTACGAGCGCGCCCGCGACGCGCAGCCCTACGAGCGCGCCCGCGACGCGCAACCCTACGAGCGCGCTCGCGAGGCGCCGCGCTACGACGCGCCGCGCTACGACGCGCCGCGCTACGAGCCGGAGGCCCACGGCCGCTCCGAGCGCCGCGAGTCGCCGCCGCGCCGCGAGTCGCCGCCGCGCTACGCCCACGACGCGGCGCGCCCGGAGCGCCACGACGCGCCCCCGCCGTCGCCGAGCCGCGGCGACGACCGGGGCCGCGCGCTGGGCCTGCTCGACGAGGTGCTCGCGCGCCGGGACGGCCTCGACGCGGAGACGGCCGCGCGGTTCAACAACCAGCTCATGGGCGTGCTCGAGATGCACGCCGTCTTCGCGGCCCACGACACGCGGCTCCGGGGCGCCCACGACCGCGCGAACCGGAGCGAGCGCGAGGCCGGCGAGCTCCGGGAGCGCGCGGACCGCGCCGAGGGCGAGCTCCGCGCGGCGCTCGCGGCGACGGCCGAGGAGCGCCGGGCCCAGGGCGGCCTGCGGCGCGAGCTCGACGCGGCCGTCGCCGACGTCGCCAAGCTGCGGGCCGGCGAGGAGCGCGCGCTCGCGGCGCGGCGCCGCCTCGAGGGCGAGCTCGACGCCGCGGCGCGCCGCGGCCGCGGCGACGGCCTCGCGACGCGCGTCGAGGCGCTCGAGGGCGAGCTCGAGCGCGCCGAGGCGCGCGCGCGCGCCGCCGCCGAGGAGCTCGGCAAGCGCCTGAAGCTCGACGACGGCGCGGGGACCCAGGTCGCGGCGCTCGAGGCCGACGCCGCGGCCAAGGAGCGGACGATCGCGGACCTGGAGGCGAAGCTCCACTGCGCTCTCGTCGCCGGCGAGGCGCTCCAGCAGGAGTGCGACGACCACGCGGCGCGGGCCGCGGCGGCCGTCGACGGGGCCGCGGCGGCGGCGCGCGGCGACCGCGAGGCGTTGGAGGCGGCGCTCCGGGAGGCGCGCGCGGTCGCCGAAAGCGCGGCGGCCGCGAACGAGGACGGGGCCGCGCGCGTCGGCCGCCTCGAGGCCGCCTGCGCGGCGGCGCGGCGCGAGCGCGACGCGGCGCGCGAGTCCGTCGCCGAGACCGCCGAGGCGCTCCGCGCGGAGCGCGACGCGCGCGACGGCGCCGCAGGCCTCCTCGAGGCCGCCGAGGCCGAGGCCGCGGCGCTCCGCGAGGCCGCGAAGCAGGCCCGCGTCGACGCCGAGGCCCTGGCCGTGGCCGAGCGCGCGAGGCACGAGGCCGAGGCCGCCCTCGCGGCCGCGGAGGCCCGCGCGGGCCGCCTCGAGGGCGCGGCCGAGGACGCGGCGCGCGCGGTCGACGACATGGCGCGCCAGACCGAGGAGACCTACCGGCGGGAGACGCGGCGCCTCGAGGCGAAATGCGCCGAGCTCGACGACGCGCGGCAGCGGGAGCGCGCGCGCTGCGAGGACCTCGACGGCGTCGCCGCGGCGCGCCTCGAGGACGCGGACGCGCTCCGCGCGTCCCTCGCCGCGGAGCGGGCCGCGCGCAAGGAGGCCGAGGACCTCGTCGCCGCCAAGGGCGACGAGGTCGCGGCGGCGCGCGGCGACGTCGAGGCCGCGCGGCGCGACGCGGCGGCGCTGCTCGACGCGAGGCACGCCGAGGCCGAGCAGGACGCGGCGAGCCTGCGCGCGGAGCTCGACCGCGTCGCCGCGGCGAACGCGGGCTTCGTCGAGGCGAGCCGCCTGCGCTGCGAGCGCGCCGAGTACCACGCCGCGGAGTCCGCGCGCGCCGAGGCGGGGCTCCGCGCGGAGCTCGAAGCCGCGGCCGCGCAGCGCGACGCGCTGGAGGCGCGGATCGCCAAGGCCGACGCCGACCGCGGCGACGCGGCGCGGAGGGTCGACGAGGCGGCGCGCGCGTCGGAGGATGCGAGGGCGGCGGCGGACGAGCTAGTCGCGGCCGCGGCCGCGCGGGCGACCGCCGCGGAGCGCGACCGCGACGCGGCGCGGCGCGGCGGCGACACGGCGAGGAAGGACCTCGAGGACCGCCTCGCGCTGGCCTTCGCGGACCTCGAGGCCGCGCGGGGCGACCTCGCGCGCGCCGAGGCCGACGGCGCGGCCGCGCGGCGCGACGCGGACGCGGCGAGGGCGCGCGGCGACGGCGCGAAGACCGTCGCCGAGGAGGCGATCCGCGACGCCAAGGTGCGCCTCGAGGAGGAGCGCGCGTCCTTCAAGCGCCAGCTCGACGACGAGCGCGCGGGGCGGCGCGAGGACCGCGCGGCCGTCGACGCGGCGCGCGCGGAGCTCGCGGCGGCGGAGCGGGCCGCGGCGTCGCTCGAGGCCGCGCGGGCCGACGCCGCGGCGCGCGTCGAGGGCGCCGAGGCGCGCGCGAGCGCGGACCGCGAGCGGCTCGGCGCCGAGGCCGAGGCCGCGCGGCGGGACGCGGACGCCGCGCGGGCGGCGCTCGCCGCGCGCGACCGCGAGGCCGGCGAGAGCGCCGGGGACCTCGCGCGGGTCCGGGCCCAGCTCGCCGCGGCGCGCGAGGACTGCGACGCGACGCGCGACGACCTCGAGCGCGCGCGCGACGACCTCGCGCGGAGCCTCGAAGAGGCGCCGCGCCGAGGGCGACTTCGCGGCGGCGCTGAGCGACGCGGCCGCGCTGCGCGAGCAGCTCGCGGCGAACCAGAAGCTGCGCGCGCTGGACCCGCCGGACGTCGAGACCCTGCGCCGGGCGGTGGCGGAGGCCGCGGAGGCGCGCGAGTCGTACGCGCTCGAGCGCGCGCGGCGCCGCGAGATCGGCGAGAAGCTCGCGGTCCTCCAGGGCAACATCCGCGTCATCGCGCGCTGCCGGCCGCCCGTCGCCTGCGAGACGGCGTCCGGCGCCGACGTCTGCGCCGTGAGCTTCCCCGCCGGCTGCGACGGCGACGTCACGGTCACGAACGACGCGGGGCTGAAGCAGCGCTTCGAGTACGACGCGGTCTTCAGGCCCGGCTCGACGCAGGCCGAGGTCTTCGAGGCCATCTGCCCGCTGGTCCAGAGCGCCTTCGACGGGTTCTCCGTGTGCATCTTCGCCTACGGCCAGACGGGCAGCGGCAAGACGCACACGATGGAGGGCCCGCCGGACGACCGCGGCGTCTACTTCCGCGCGCTCCGCGAGCTCTTCCACGCGCGGCCCCCGGGCGCGGCCGTGGCCGTGAAGCTGAGCATGCTCGAGGTCTACAACGAGACCATCGTCGACCTGCTCGCGGACGGCGGGAGCAGGCCGAAGCTGGAAGTGAGGCAGACGGGCGCGGGCCACTCCGTCCCGGGCCTCACGTCGCTCGACGTGGAAAGCCTCGACGAGGTCCAGCGGCTCACGGAGCGCGGCGGCGCGAACCGCTCCGTCGGCGGCCACGACCTCAACGCGCGCAGCTCCCGGAGCCACCTCATCGTCGCGCTCGACGTATCGACGACCGTCGACGGCGCCGAGCGCCGCGCGCGGCTCAACCTCGTGGACCTCGCGGGCTCGGAGCGCCTCAGCCGCACGGGCGCGACGGGCGACCGCCTCAAGGAGGCGCAGAACATCAACAAGTCCCTCTCCGCGCTCGGCGACGTCATCGCCGCGCTCGCGAAGAAGAACGCCGCGCACGTGCCCTACCGCAACAGCAAGCTCACCTTCCTGCTCCAGGACTCGCTGAGCCGCCACGCCAAGGTCCTCATGTTCGTCAACATCTCCCCGGCGGAGTCCAACGCGTCCGAGACGATCTGCTCGCTGGCCTTCGCGAGCCGCTGCCGCGACGTCGCGCTCGGCGCGGCCTCGAACAAGCCCGACGCCATCGAGCTCGCCAAGGCGAAGCAGGAGATCCGCGCCCTCAAGGCGAAGCTGGCCGCGGCGGCTCCGGCAAAGGGGCGATAGCATCGAAGGCGTGAAGCCACTTCAAGTTGATCTGCAAGGTGCACCAGTCGTCAGGGCCTCGCGATATGGCAGGCTCGTCGTCAGGCGACGCGCTCCTGCGCAGCCTGCGCTACTCGTACCGCTGCGTCGTCGCCGCCGTGGGCGCGGCGTGCCGGCCCGGCGGCGCCGCGCGCTGCGACGCCGCCGGCGCCGACGGCCAAGCGCCCGAGCTCCTGTCGCGCGTCGTCGACGACGCCGCGGCGGGCCGCGTGGACCGCGTCCTGATCGGCGCGGAGACGCTCGAGGTCTGGGGCGCGGACGCCAAGCTCTACGACGCGGCCATGGTGCCCTGGCTCGACGTGAGCTGGCTCGCGGAGCGCCTGGGCAGCCACGGCGTGGGCTTCGGCGCGCTGAAGCAGGCGCCCGCGGCGCCGGACCCCGCGGAGCGGCGCGCGGCGGCCCTCAAGGCCATCGTCGCCGTCGTCGCGCCCTGCGCCTACCTCGTCTTCGCCTACAAGGTGCTCATGCGCGCGTCGCGGGGGCCCGTCGACGAGTCCGTCGCGAAGCGCTACCGCAAGAAGCGCGAGCTCGCGCCGACGGCGGGCTTCGCGGGCGTCGCGGGCGTCGACGGCGCGCGGCGCGAGCTCGAGGAGATCGTCGCCGTCGTCCAGGACCCGGGCCGGTTCCGGGCCATGGGCGCCAAGTGCCCGCGCGGCGTCCTGCTCACGGGGCCTTCCGGCACGGGCAAGACGCTCCTCGCGCGCGCGGTCGCGGACGAGGCCCAGTGCGCCTTCCTGAGCTGCTCGGCGTCGGCCTTCGTGGAGCTGCTCGTGGGCCGGGGCGCCGCGCGCGTGCGCGACCTCTTCAAGCGCGCGCGGAGCATGGCGCCCTGCGTCGTCTTCATCGACGAGATCGACGCCATCGCGAAAGCCCGGGGCCTGCTGGGCCAGAGCGACGAGCGCGAGCAGACGCTGAACCAGATCCTCTGCGAGCTCGACGGCTTCGACGCCAAGGCCGACGACTCGGAGCTCGTCATCCTGCTCGCGGCGACGAACCGCCCGGAGATCCTCGACGCGGCGCTCGTGCGGCCGGGCCGCCTCGACCGCTGCGTCACCGTGCCCCTGCCCGACGAGGACGGCCGCGAGGCCATCCTCCGCGTCCACGGCGCGACCGTCCGCCTCGACGCGGCCGCGGACCTCCGCGCCGTCGCCCGGGCGGCGACGGGGTTCTCCGGCGCGGACCTCGCGAACGCCGTCAACGAGGCCGCGCTCCTCGCCGTGCGCACGGGCGCGCCGTCCGTGGGCACGGCCCACCTCAAGCGCGCCGTCGCCAAGGGGAAGGACGGCAAGGCGGCCCTCCGCCGCAACGTTTAATCTCGAGAGACCCCCGGGGCAAGTCGTCTCATGGGCGACGAGGACGCCGTAAACGCGCTCCGGCAGGTCAGCGACCTCGAAGACGCGCTCCATAGTCTAACGCGCTTACTCAACTACCCGTCCGCCGCGGGGCCGAGGTCGTCGTCGTCGGGCCACTCCGGAGGCGTGTCGAAGGCGAAGCGCACGCCGTCCGGGGACCGCGCGGGCGCGGGCGTCATCTCCGCGCGTTCGGCCGCGAGGAGCGCCGCGAGCGCCGCGCGCCGCTCCGTGAGCGGCGCGCGCCGCGCGGCCCCCGCGAGCATGGTCTCGCGCGCGCGCGCCGCCTCGGGCGTCAGCGACAGCGAGACGTCGGGCGACAGGGACAGCGACACGCGGCCCGACGACGACGAGTCGGCCGGCGGCGGCGCGCGCGCCTCGCGGAGCGGCGTCGGGAGCGGCGGCAGGTCGTCGTCGTCGTAGTTGTCGAAGAGGTCGTGGCGGAACTCGCCCGCGGCGCGCGACGAGTAGGGCGCGGACGGCGGCGGCGCGGCGCGCGCGGCCGCGGGCGTCTCGCGCGGCGCGGCGCCGCCGCCGAGGCTCGACGTCTCGCGCGCGGGGCTCCGGAACGGCGCGGCCGCGCCGCGCGCGCCCGTCGGCGAGTGGAGGAGCTGGAAGCGGAGCTGGACGACCTGGCGCAGCGCGACGACGAGGCGGCGCGCGGCCTCGGCCGAGTGCTTCTGCTCGACGTCGACCTGCTCCGAGAGCGCGGCGCGCAGCGTCTCGAGGTCGGCGACGCGCCGCCGCAGCGCGCCGGGCTCCGCGGGGCCCCGGGCCTCGAGGCGCGCCGCGAGCGCCGCGGACCGCGTCCGCTCCGCGTCCAGGGCCCGCGCGAGCTCGTCGCGCGCGTCGCCGGCCGCGCGGAGCTCCGCGACCTCGCGCTCGAGAGCGCCCGCGGCGGCGGCGGCGGCGTCGCCGGCCGCGCGGAGCTCGGCGACTTCCCGCTCCAAGGCGGCGCGCGCGCTTCGTTCCGCTTCGAGCGCCGCGAGCGCGGATTTCGCGGCTTCGGCGTCGCCGCGCGTCGTCGCCGCGGCGTCCTGGAGGTCCGCGGCGGACCGGCGGATCTCGCTCGCGACGGCCTCGTTCGCCGCGCGAGTCGCGGACCAAAAGTCCGCGGCCGGCGGCGCCGCGCGCCGCGCCGCCGCGAGCGCGCTCGCCGCCTCGCGCTCGAGGCCCGCGGCCTTGGCCTCCGCGGACACGAAGCGCTCGCGCCACTCCGCGGCCGCGCGCCGCTCGCGCTCGAGCGCGCGCCGCGCGTCGCCCTCGCGCGCCACGGCCTCGTCCATTTGCCGCGCGAGGTCCCGCGTGAGCGTCGCCCGGAGCGCGTCCGCCGACGGCGACGGGGGCGGGGCCTCGTCGTCGCCGCCGGGCGCCGCGGCGCGCTTCGCGTCCCAGGTCCGCCGCCAGGGCGACGCGTCCGCGGGCCGCGGCGCGGGCGACGGATTCGCGCGCGGTCGCGGCGCGGGCGACGCGTCCGCGGGCCGCGGCGCGGGCGACCGCGACGGCGGCGTCGGCGAGGCCGGCGGCGACGCCGCGGCCGCGCTCCGGAGCGCCTCGACCTCGACGCGCGCCGCGGCGAGCGACGCGTCCTTGGCCGCGAGGGCCGCCGCGGCCTCGGCGCGCGCCTCGGCCGCCGACGCCCGTAGCTCGTCGCTTTCGCGCGCGAGGGCCTCGCGCGACTCGCGGAGCGCGTCGCTCCGCCGCCGCTCCGCCTCGAGCGCCGCCGCGCTCCGCCGCCGCTCCTCGTCGTCCGCCGCCGCGCTCCGCCGCCGCTCCTCGTCGTCCGCCTCGCGCCGCGGAGGGCTCGGCGTCGACGCGACGGACATGGGCGAGAGCGACTTGCGCCGCTCCGCGGCCGCGCGCGCGTCCGCGTGCGTCGCGAACATCATCAGGGACGGATCCTTGCGCAGCGGCGGCGGGGTTTCGCGGAAGCGATGGGGCGCGTGCTGGCGCTCCTCCTCGAAGGAGATCGACGTGCGCCGGCCCCCAAACATGGAGAGTGACTCAACGAAGCGGGTCTGCGGCGAGAAGGACACGCCCCGGTCGCTTCCCGGCGTGGACATCGTGCAGGCGACGGGTGTGAAATCCTTGCGGCCTATTTCACTCGCCACCGCGCTGAAATCGGGTCGTCGCACGTGAGTGCGGTCGATTTTGAGGCTCCGCCAGTGAAGCGAACTGCCTTGTGGATCTCGGCGATCCCCGAAGCTCGAACTTCACGGCCAACAACGTCGTGCTCGCGCCGCTTGGTCTTGCGACGCAGCAAGAGTCGGCGTTTCGGAAACGCTCTTGAAAATGCGGGAAACTTAAGTACCGGTAGCGGGGAGCGGTGGGCGCGGTGGCCGGGCTAGAGGGGACTTTGGCCGGGGGTCGCCCGGCCCAAATTTGTGCCGAGCCGTCTGCCGTCGACGTCGCAGTATGACGACGATAAATGCTCGCCTCTGCGACGCGCTGCGCGCGGCCCAGTCGAACCCGGCGGCGGCCGCCGGCGGCCTCTGCGCCGTGGCCATGGTCGCGCCGATCTGCGCCAACGGGCTGAAGCTCACGGTGCGCTTCCTGTCGTCGCTGTCGACGTCGAAAAAGCACGGGCGCATCGACGGCTACAACAAGCTGCAGGAGGGCGACGACGCGGGCGAGCGGAACACGGAGTACGCGGCCCTCGTCGACTCCTACTACGACCTGGCGACGGAGTTCTACGAGTGGGGCTGGGGCGCGTGCTTCCACTTCGCGGACCGCCGGGGCGGCGAGACGTTCGCGCAGAGCCTGCTGCGCCACGAGTACTACCTCGCGAGCCGCCTCGCCGTCTCCGCCGGCGCCAAGGTGCTCGACTGCGGCTGCGGCATCGGCGGGCCCATGCGCAACATCGCGCGGTTCACGCGCGCGCAGGTCACGGGCATCACGATCAACCAGTTCCAGGTCGACCGCGGCAACGCGCTCTGCGCGTCCGAGGGCGTCGCCCACCTCGCCAAGAGCGTCCAGGGCGACTTCATGGCGCTGCCCTTCCCCGAGGCGTCCTTCGACGGCGTCTACGCCATCGAGGCGACGTGCCACGCGCCGGACCGCGCCAAGTGCTACGGCGAGATCTACCGCGTGCTCAAGCCCGGCGCGACCTTCGCGTGCTACGAGTGGTGCCTCACGGACGCCTACGACGGCTCCGAGCGCCACAAGAAGCTCAAGAAGGACATCGAGGTCGGCGACGGGTTGCCGGACCTCTGCCACACGTCCGTGTGCACCGCGGCGCTCGAGGCCGCGGGCTTCGACGTCGTCGAGGCGCGCGACTGCGCCGCGGACGGCATGCTCGACGGCGGCGACCCCTGGCACATGCCCCTGGTGCCGTCGTGGCACCCGCTCAAGTGGCCCCGCTTCCAGTTCAACCCCGTCATGTACTTCCTCATGCCCAAGATCCTCTCCTTCTTCGAACTCATCCGCCTCGTCCCCGCGGGCACGTCCAAGACGCAGGTCATGCTCCAGGCCGGCGGCGTCGGCTGCGCCGAGGGCGGCATCACGGGCGCCTTCACGCCCATGTGGCTCATGGTCGCGAAGAAGCCCCTGAAGTAGGGCGCGACGCTCGACCGCGCCCCCTCGCCGATGCTAAAAGTAGCCCGAGGGTCCCGCCCGCCGATGCTCCGACACGGCGACGCTGCCTCTTCGAAGGAGCCCGAGGGCCCCGATGCTCCGACACGACGACTCCGACTGCTAAAAGTAGCCCGAGGCCCGGCGGACGTAGGGCGGCGTCGCGCGCGTGAGCGCGAGGATCGTCTCCGGCCGGAGGTGCTCCGCGTAGGCGCCCGGGTGGACGTAGGCCGTGTGCGTCGCGTTGTCGACGGTGACGTCCGCCGCGCGGGCGAACTCGCCCCGGAGCCGCGCCAGCGGCCTCGCCTCGGCGACGTCGAAGAAGGCGACGAAGCGCGCGTCCCACGCCGGCGCGCGCTCGACCTAGATCGGCGGTTTCGGGCGAGGACACATCCGTCGGGGACGCGGGATCGAAGAGACCATGTCCTCGTAGCGTGAGTACCAGACGTCGCAGACGTCGGCGACGGCGTCGAGGCCCTCGAGCGCCGCGGTCATCCTACGGACCAGCTCCGGCAGGTGCGCGATCGCGTAGGCGTCGACGCCCGCGGCGTGCTCGCGCGCGCGCTCCGCGGCGATGCGCGCCCGCTCGGCGTCGCTCGCGTCCGGCGGCAGCGGATGCGTCAGCGTGAAGCTCTGGAACTGGCTCACGAGCACGTCGAACGGGTGGCGCAGCTGCACGAACGCGCGGCACGACCGCGGCTTCCGCGGGCCGGAGCTCCACCAGCTGTAGAGGGACGACGGCGGCCCGTCCGTCGCCAGCGCGCGGTCCACGAGCTCCTTCGTGAGGCCCGTCCGCGAGAAGAGCACGGCGCCGGCGTCGCCGCAGCGCGCGTCGCACTGCGCATCGCACTCGCAGGCGGGCCGGCGCAGCGCGTGGAGCAAGGTGCTCACGTAGAACGAGCCGCATTTGTGCAGCGTGACGGCGAAATAGAGCACGTTTGAGGCTACCATCGTCAACGAGCAGCCCTTCTCATGCACGTTTCACTGCAACATGAATTCCTGAAGTAAAGCAGCATGGCTGCCCCGCTCGCCTTCTTTGGGACGGAGTCGTGCTACGTGCGGTCCCTAAACTTGAGCGACGGCTCGTCGACGTGCTACGCCGTCGCCGAACCTACCAGCAAGTACGTCGCCGTCGAGTTCGTGATCAGCGATGGCAGGCGGATGGTCTACGCGCTGGTCTGCCACTGGGACAAGAAGGACGGCGAGCTCGTCCAGTGCGAGGTCGAACGCGGCACCCTCGTCGAGCGCGCGCGAGTCAGCTCGGGAGGCAGGCAGCCCTGCCACGCGGCCTGGCGGCCGGGCGCGACGGCGCGGCTCGCCGTGAGCCACTACTTCGGAGGCGCCGTCAGCCTCTTCGCCTGCGCCGAGCGGCCGACGCTCCTCGCGACGGCGCGCGTCGGCGAGCACGCGCACGGCGTCGCGTGGTCCCCCGACGGGGCCTACGTCGTCGTCGCCGTCGCGGACGTCGCGGGGTCCGTCGCGTCGCTCCACGGCGACGACCTCGCGCTCGCGCGGACGCGCGCCGAGGACTTCCTCGCGCCCGAGGCGGCGACGGCGGGCATGGTGCAGCACCACATTAACCGGAAGATGGGCCACCGGCCGCGGCACCTCGCCTTCGCGTCGCCGTCGTCGCTCCTCGTCGTCCACGAGTGCGCGAACAAGCTCACGCTCCACGGCTTCGACGTCGGCACGGGCGCCGTGTCGCCGCCCCTCCACGTCGTCTCGACGCTCTTCGACGCGCCGCCGCCGTCCTGGCTCTGCGGCCTCGTCAGCGCCGCGGGGCCCGAGCCGCTCCACGCGGCCGCGGAGCTCGTCGTGAGGGAAAGCGCGACCGGCGCGACGGTCGCCTACGTGTCGAACCGCATGCTCTACTGCGGCGCCTCCTCGTCCATCGCGGCGTTTGTCGTCGAGGCGGGGCGGCTCGCGCCCCTCGGCGCGCCCGTCGAGACCTTCCGCAACCCGCGCCACGTCCTCGTCGACGGCGACCGGCTGCTGGTGGGGTGCAAGGAGAAGGTCATGGTGTTCCCCGTCGGCGCGGACGGCGCGCTCGGCGACGCGACGACGCTGGACCTGCCGGCGGACGAGTTCCCGGCGGGCTCCCGCGAGCTCGACTGCGCGGCGTTGGTCCACGTCGAGACCCGGGGCGACGCGGGGCTCGCATAAAAGCCTAGGAGGAATGTTGTTGAAGACATTGTTGAATCAAAATTACTTACCGCGAGCCAATCACGACGCTGTGCCAGAATAAGAAGGCGAGGGCTCGCGAAGGCTGATATACGAGTTGTTGAATATAATGTTGAACCAAAATTACCACAGCATCCGAGTCGGTCGCGGCGGCGCAGAATCTGAGAAGGCGAGGGAAACCTGTGCGTCGAGCGCGGGAAGACCTACTATGAAGCTCCTTTCCGTCCTCTTTGCGGCGTCCTGCGCCGCGCGCGCGGGCGCCGAACGCACCCAGGAAGCGCACAAACTGAAACCCGGCGCCGCCGACGCCTCGCTCCTCGTGGGCACGGCGACGCGCGACTGCACGGGCCCGTCGACCGAGTACCTCTTCATGGGCATGGCGAACCCGTCGCAGCACGGCCAGGGCCTCTGGACGCGCCAGTTCGCCCGGGCCTTCGTCTTCGTCGGCGACGGCGGGGGCCGCGCGGCGTTCGTGTCCGTCGACAACGCGATGATCGGCCACGTGCTCAAGTCCAGGGTGCTGGCCAAGGTCGGCGACGCCCTCGGCGACAACGCGACCTACACCTACGAGAACGTCGTGCTGAGCGGGACGCACACGCACAGCGCCGCGAGCGGCTTCCTCCAGCACATGATCTTCCAGCTCGCCGGGAGCGGCTACCTTCCCGAGACCGTCGAGGCGCTCGCGTCCGGCGTCGCCGAGGCGCTCGTCGCCGCCCACGCCGACGCCACCAATAAAACGGCGACCATGCGCGTCGCGACGTCCCAGCTCCGGAACGCGTCCGCGAGCCGGTCGCCGTCGGCGTACCTGCTGAACCCCGCGGACGAGCGCGCCGCGTACGACGGCGACGTCGACACGGACTTTACGCTGCTGCGCGTCGACGACGCGGCGACGGGCGACCTGCGGGCCGTCGCGACGTGGTTCGCCGTGCACCCGACGTCCATGAACAACACGAACGGCCTCGTGAGCTCCGACAACAAGGGCCTCGCGTCCGTGCTCCTCGAGCGCGTTTTGAACCCCGGCGCGGCCCCGGGCCGGGGCGCCGTCCCCGCGGCGTTCTGCTCGGCGAATCTGGGCGACGCGACGCCGAACATCGTCGGCGCGTTCTGCCGCGACACGGGCGAGCCCTGCGACGTCGACACGTCGACGTGCCCCGGCGCGTCGCCCTGGCCCTGGTCCAACGCGACCCTGATGCGCAACGAGCAGTGCTCGTCCGTCGGGCCGGGCCGGGACATGTTCGACTCCTGCGCGATCATCGCGGGGCGCCAGGTCGACGAGGCGGCGGCGCTCCTCGCCGGCGGCGGGTTCGCGGACCTGTCGTCGCGGATCCGCGTCGCGCACGCCTTCGTCGAGATGCCCGGGCGCGCGGTCGTCGACTGGAAGACGGGCGCCCCGCTGGGAAAACTCTGCGACGCGGCCATGGGCCAGTCGTTCGCCGCGGGGACGATCGACGGCCCGGGCCAGTTCGACTTCTCGCAGAACTCGACGTCGCCGAACCCGTTCTGGAAGCTCGCGGCCCGCGTCCTGCACAAGTCGACGCCGGAGCAGGCGGCGTGCCAGGCGCCGAAGACGATCCTCATCCCGACGGGTTCGATGTCGACGCCGCACGCGTGGGCGCCGTCGGTGCTCCCCGTGCAGCTCCTCGACCTCGGCGGCCTCGTTGTGGCCGCCGTGCCGACGGAGATGACGGCCATGGCGGGGCGGCGCGTGAAGCGCATGCTCCGGGCCAAGTTCGGCGAACACGCGGCCGTCGTCGTCGCGGGCCTGAGCAACGAGTACGCCGACTACACGGCGACGTTCGAGGAGTACCAGGCCCAGCGCTACGAGGGCGGCTCGACGATCTACGGGCCGCACCAGCTCGACGCCTACCTCGCCATCCTCGCGGACCTCGCGGACGCCGTGCTCGGCGGCGACCCCGTCGACCCCGGCCCGATGCCCGCCGACTTCTCCGCGGACATCTGGGCCTGGGGCGAGAAGCAGCCGTCGGAGGAGACGCCCCCGGACGGGGCCAACTTCGGCGACCAGCTCGCGGCGAGCTGGGACGCGGCCGCGCGGAACCTGACGGCGTCGTTCGTCGGCGGCGACCTCAAGCACGACCTCAAGCACGGCGGCACGTACCTCGAGGTCCAGCGCGCGGCGGGCGACGGCTGGGCGACGGTCTTCGTCGACGGCGACCCGGAGACGCGCATCCGCCTGGCCGTCGTGAAGCACGGCTTCCTGGACCGCCACCACTACCTCAACGCGACGATCTCCGCGGAGCTCGCGGACGCGGGCACCTACCGCGTCCTCTACCACGGCAACGCCTACGTCGACGGGAAGGTCGTGGCCTTCACGGGCACGTCCGCGAACGCGACGGTCTAGTGGATGCGGGTAATAGAGCGGGTAACATACAACATGCGTTGCATGTGAAGTTGACGGTAATTTAGAAATATGTTGAACTCCGAGCGGCTTCTCATTCCATCGGGGCCCCTCTTCGTCTTCCGGACGGCAGCCGTCGTTCGTCGCGTCGGGCACCGAAGGCCCCATGTGGTGGCGCGCGCTCGCCGTCGCGGCGGTCGCGCGCGCGTCGACGGCGCCGCGGGCGCCGAAGCCCTCCGTGCTGCCGAGCTTCGACGTCGGGCCGCCCGTGGAGCTGCCCGAGGAGGCGCCGCACGTGGAGGAGGCGGCGCCCGCGGCCCCGCCGCCGGAGGCGACGCGCGCGTGGCAGCCCGGCGACGCGCTGTCGCACCTCGCGGAGCGCGCGCAGCTCGCGTCGGCGTTCCGCGCGCTCGCGAGCCGCGGCCTCTCCGCGGCGTCGGGCCTCGGGAACCACCTGACCATGTCCGTGGGCCCGGACTACGAGTGCTTCCTGCTAAACCGCTACGGGCTGCACTGGATGGAGGTGACGGCGGAGAATCTACTATTAGTCGACGGCAACGGCGAGATCCTCGAGGGCGAGGGCCCGGCGCAGGGCGCGGCGATCGCGCTCCACGCGCCGATCCACCGCGAGCTCGGCGCCAAGGCCAAGGTCATCTTCCACACGCACCAGCCCTGGTTCACGGCGCTGAGCTGCATCAAGACGGGCGGCCTGCGCATGTTCCACCCCGACGCGTGCATCTACGAGGGCCGCGTGGGCTTCGATCCCGTCTACACGGGCAACTGGCCCGAGGGCAGCCTCCAGGGGTCGATGATGGAGGGCGAGCGGCTGTTGCGCGTGCCCGAGCTCGTGGGCAAGGATTTGTGCTTCCTGGGCAACCACGGCACGCTCCAGATCGCGTCGTCGATCGAGGAGGCGCTCTTCGACTGCTTCAACGTCGAGCGGCTCTGCAAGGCGCAGGTCTACGCGATGCAGTCGACGCGGTTCCGCGAGCTCGGCCGCGACAAGGCGTTGAATCTGAAGGCGCGCTACGAGAAGGTGCGGGACCGCAGCGTCATGAACTACTACCAGCAGCACATCGCCAAGGACGCGAGCATCACGCCCGTGCCCGGCGCGTGGGACGGCGTCGGCCCCATCCCGCGCGGCGCGGAGTTCCTGCCGACGCGGCGCCACGACGCGGCGCCGCTGCCCTTCGCGGCGCGGTCCCTGTCCACGGAGGAGTGGGAGCTGCGCTGCGACGTGGCCGCGGCGTGCCGGCTCATCAGCCGCCTCAACGGCCACGTGACGCACGAGGGCTCCTTCGCGCACATCTCCGTGCCCCTGCCGGGCACGGAAAACTCCGAGGAGCCCCTCTTCCTCGTGACGCCCTCGGACGTGCCCTTCGCGGCCATGCGCGCGTCGCTGCTCGTGGTCTGCGACGCGCGCGGCGCCGTCGTCCGGGGCACGGGCTACGTCGACGGCGAGACGTTCCGCGCGTTCCACCGCATCCGCGACGCGGGCACGCCGGGGCGCTACGGCGCCGTGCTCTTCAGCCACACGGAGTTCACGGACCGCCTCGCGGCGCACGGCCGCCGCATCCGCATGGTCTCGCAGTCCGCGTTCAACTTCGCCTTCGACTACTTCGGCTACTTCGACGCCTGGGGCCACAGCCTCATCGAGGCCTGCGAGGACGCGGACGGGGACAAGTTCCGGGAGAATCTCGTGGACTACGTCGCGGAGGACGACAAGGTCTTCGTGATGCTCTCGCACGGCGGCTGCCTCGCGCGCGGCGACGACGTCGCGCACGTCTTCTCGCTGCTCCACGGCATCGACGCGGCGGCGGAGATCCAGGTCTACGCGGAGATGACGGGCTTCCCCGTCATGGAGCTCGACAAGGACGAGGTCAAGACGTTCCCGACGCACGGCTACGGCGACTTCCGGTCCAAGTCGAAGCGCATGGGCCTCAACTTCGACGCCAACAAGCGGCTGCTGCTGTGCGACTTCAACCACGGCTTCCGCGACACGGGCGACTCCGCCTTCGTGCTTTGAGCCGTACCTACTTATGTTCATCTTAACTTCAACTACTCGCCAACGGCGGGTGTGCCTGCCTGTGGAGCTGCGCCGGGCACCGCCAGGGTTCACACTCGCTGCGGCACCGCCAGCCTTCGCACGTCGACGACGCGAGCATGAGCGCGATGGACGAGCTCAAAGCGCTCGAAGCGCGCGTCAAGGCCCTCGAGACGGACGACGACTTTGGTCTCCAGACCAAGGTGGCGCCGCCGGCCGCGCCCGCGCCCGCGTCGAGCGCCGCGAGCTCCGCGGACACCGAGGCCGTACGCGCGCGGCGTCCTTCTCCGAATGTCTTCGTCGCGCGCCGCGCCCTCGCCGCGCGTCGCGCGCCGAGCCGCTCGCCGCGCGTCGCCCGCCGAGCCGTCCGTCCCCGCCGCAGCTCAAGAGCGAGAACGAGCGGCTCAAGAAGGAGAACGAGACCATGGCCAAGCTCCTCGCCAAGGAGAGGTATCGCATCACGCACCTCATCAGGACCGTGGAGTCGCTGACGCCGGCCTGAGGCGGAGGCGTTAACGACCCCGTTTGCGTCGTTCGAAGGAACAAAACTAGGGCGGCTTAGGCACGGGCCTGCAGACGTTCGTGGAGTACCAGACGAGGGACTGGATGCGCGGCTTCGTGTGGCCCGCGCGGCACTTCTCCCCGAAGTGGCACCGCTCCGAGACGACGTGCGCGTTTTCGCACTGCGCCCCGAAGGCGCAGAGGCCCTGGAGGAAGAAGCAGCAGGACGGCGGCTGCAGCCTGGGGAGCTGCGCCGCGTCCGCGATGGACTCCGCGAGCGGGGGCGCGTCGTCGCCGGACGCGCCATCGCGTCGCGCGCGGAGCGCCTGGAGCGCCTCGAGGGCCTGCTGCA